ATGTAAATAGACCGGTTAGCTCTTTAGATGGTAATTTATCTAGAAGCATTAGATCAAACGAACCTGGTACTGGATATGGGAAACCATTAGCAGAGACATTCTGCAAAAACACTACTCCGACTTTTTTAAGTCGTTATTCCTTTAATGTAAATGAACGCAGTTCTTTAAGCGGTAATTTGCTTGAAATTATTGGATCAAATGAAGTTGGTTCTGTGAGAGGAAATTCATTAAGTCTTAATTCAAGTCAGTATCAGGTTGGTTGATAGTTAAATAAAATTGTATTATTATAGCCGATAAGTATTTATTATATCGATTTATTATATTGATTTACTATTATTATTTAAGTCCATAAATGAACGTATTGAGACATTTGAAAGTACTCCCGGTCACTTTAGATCACCAGATATCACTAATAGTTCATTTGATTTTCATGTAAGTAGGCTATTTCTGGTTAGTTAAATTTGGTGCAGGTCAAATTTAAAAAAAAATCTGATGTGTCAAATGGCATACTGCAATGCCATTTGACACATCAAATTTTTTTTAAATTTGACCAGTGTGGATGATTATTGTAACAGTACCTGTATTCAACAAAATTTTTTTCAAATCATTGATTCTAAATAGGAGCATAGTTCAGATATAAATTTGCAAACTGCATCAACTTTTTCAGAACCTATGTTTGATAATCAACAAGATGCCTACCATTTACAACTTCAAATTGAACATTCTAATGTTTTCGAATTGTCAGATTCTAGTAGTGAAAGTGAATGCGATAATAGTGGTATTGACAGTCAGCATAAATATATATTTTATATACATGTTAATGATACTTTTGATACTTTTGAAGAGGTTAAAAATCGACTTGACCGGTATGCGATGGAACGTGGATTTGCCATTAGGAAGGGACGTACTCGTACTCGAGAGGATGGATCAGTGTGGAATGCAACCTGGGTGTGTTATTTGTCTGGGCAATGGAAACCTAAAAAAAATATCGATCCCGATGATCAACGTAATCGTGAAGCGGCAGTTAAGGATTGTAAATGGCACTGTAATTTTTCAATTGGTAATACAGCAACAAAAATACGCTGTTCTTTATTTGATAATGATTCAGTTCACAACCATCCTATGGACAATAATATTAGAAGTAATGCTCCAAAGTATTGCCGATTGACAAATGAAATGATTAATAAAGTTGAATTATATCTCAAATGTAATATTCAACCTAGTAGAATTATTAACTTACTTGAAAATGAGTATCCTGATCACCCAATTAAGCCGCGAAACATTTATAATGTAATAAGCCAGTTAAAAGTTACAGATAAAGGACTTAAAAATGATGCTGCAGATTTATTAAATCATCTTTTACAACAAAAAAGATTGGACCCTAGTTGTGTAGTTGAACCTGTTATTGGTTATGGTGATAATGAACTGAGAGGTATTTTTTGGCAATCAGATGAGCAAGTGCAATTATTGTCAAGGTTTGGTAAAAGTTGGTATAAGTTAGACTATTTCACTAAGAGTTTTAATAGAAAGGTCTGTTAATGTTTGTGTTTTTTCCAGTAG